TCATCTGTAGGCAGCAACCGGGACCTTGCAGGCTCAGGTATGGGGCTGCAAAACTTACAAAGCCACCTCAGTGCTCATGTATGAAAACCTACACAGTTATGTGATATTTCTCTACCTATAGTCACTTATGGCAATCTACCTATCTTCACTGATGTACACAATGCTTGGGAGCTTGCAGCATTGGATGGCCTAACCCCATTGCTGTCTTTGCCGTGCTGGGGGAACCAGTGATCTTTTCCCAAGTGACAGGGTGTTTCTGCAGCACAGAGAAGCCACCTCCCCTGGTGCAAAGATGTATATACCACACTTGCCACCAAGATGAGATTTCATCAGCTCATTTTCCCTCCTGGGGTCCAGGTCTTGGACACTATGGCCCCAGCTGCTCATGCCACACCCCTCCCAGGTGCCTGGGTGGGGGTACAAAACATCGGGGAGCTACTCCCTGCAAAACTTTAGCAACACACCAGAAGCCCTAGAAATGAGTAGCTGCAAAAGAAGTAGCCACCACACATCTGACTACCCATAACCCCAGAGATCCAGTGTGGCAACCAGTCCTTGTGCAGATCCCTTGAGTCTGGAGTGAGAGACTGCCCTCAGGTTAAGCTCATATATTTACACCTATCTCCTCATACAAAGGCCACACAACCAGTCAAGGATCAGCCAGATCTATGGGACCACTGGACTCAAGCACAGCAAGAGAAAGAGAAAAAGATTAAATAGGATATAGGATGTGGGCCCTGGCAGACTGCTATTCTAGCTGAATATCACAAGAAACAAATGCAAAAGCAAAAGTGACAGGAATTGTGACATCAAGTTTTCTTTTAGAAAAAAAAAAGTCTAAAAATTGAGTACAAGAGATTCTCAGTCCCGGGGGAATATAAGCCTGCATATAATACTAACAGGCTTTCTGTTGCACAGTTCATTTTAGGACAATGCTCACCCTCACAATGCCAATCCCATGGCCTGAGGCTGCTCTGGATTCAGACACCTGAGTGTTCAGGAACAAGCATTTCTGTTTGTGAATAATTCAGATCCCTTGTTTATTTAGGTTCATTTGGGCTCAGTTTCTTGCTGTTGGAATCTTTTGAGCTCACAGCTGCCTGTGCTGTGTATGCACAACCCCTCCCCACAGCCCTTCTATCTCTGTAAGGGAACCAGTTGCCCCAGTACCTCTCAGGTACTTGAAGCACAAACAGTACTTACAGTGCAAACACAGTTTCCACAATATAACCCTGAAAAGCTCAGGCATTCCTTTTATTCATCTTGTTGCAAACTAGGATTATTTTCTGCTCTGAGACGCACATTTGACAGTAGCTCCATGAGAGTGCTAAGCATGTAACTCTTCCATGACAGTGGCAAGCACATCCAGACATGGATATCCAGCATTCATGGACAATCATCCGGCATGCACTTATCAGTCAACATGAACAGTTGTACTTGGACAAGCAAACACAGCAACTGTGCTGCAAACAGGTACAAGTCTGCAAGTGCAAGAAACAAAAGCGAGTGCAAAGAACAACAGCAAAGCCTCAGCAAGTTACATTCTGAATAGTATCAGCATCCTGGATCATTTGATATAAAGCATTTCACTGCTTCAGCACAAAGTATTACTACCACTATTAAAGGAAAGCCATTATGGATAAGCACAGCTTATTTTTAATTGTGTTTGAGACATGTTAGAAAAAAACAGACAAAGAGCATAAATAAATTACGGAGCTGTTTCACAAAGTAGCAATACCCTAAAATGATCTATTTCAGGTAAAGTGCTGAGTGGCAGTGTTTGCTTGAGGTACTATTGCCTGCACCAATATCTCAGTCATTAATGCTGCAGCCCCTCTTCAGCACTGTACACACTGACACCTACCCGTACACCCCAACACACAGCCCCCACCGAGGAACATGTCCCTGACTTACCCTTCATCCAGCCAGCAGTCCCAAACCCTCTGAAAGCTCCCACAGAAGAGTTGAGAGTTTCACCTCGTTACCCAGCACGGGTGTTATATAACCAGCACCATTTCTGCAGGCAGTGAGGATGCACCCTGTGCACATCCCTCTCCTTCCCATTCCACATGGACACATCTCCTAATAACAGCCACACCACAGAGAGCTGGGGGGGCAAGGTGGGCTACAGGGTACTTATGGAAAGCAAAACTAACAGTTTCAAAGAAAGTTCAAAAGGTGTCTGACGTTTATTAAAGAAGCATTGTTACTATGAAAGGAAACGGTGCAATGGTATAATGTTCCTTAGCCCTCTGAAAGCAGCTTGGCCTAGATTTTCCTGTACCATTTGATGTGACCATTCATGCAAACAGGAGTAAAACTTTCTCTTAGCTTTTAATTAAGCAACAACCACATAACAACAACAACCAAAAAGAATGAAAAAGTGACACATACAAAAGACATTTTTGCTGTCATCTGGGTCTTCTGGGCTACTGTCAGATGGAGAATATGCAGGAATCAACTCCATTGATTAAACTATTATTAGCAGCAAACAAACAGATGTGTTCAGCCAAAGACAGGACAAACCCCATGCTCTGTACTTTGGGACCACATACAGAAAAAAATCTATGATTTTACCAAAGGCTTATTTGTTTTTTTAGCGAAGAATTCTCCAGCACAATGTGCAGAAGCAAAGTATACAGCATTTTAACATGCAGTAATTAATATAAAGAAGTATAACATTATTGCCTCTGCTCTCTTCCCACAGACTAAATCACATCAGCTTTCATAAGACTGGGACTAAATCCTGTATCTGTAATAATCCTAAACAAAATGTGTTCATAATCATTCAGGACATTCTGGTGTCCATGAATCACTGGCAGACACTCCATGCAGTGCACAAATGCATAGGAGCTGCAGCTTTAGGACAGACATGAAACTCTTATATAAGGCATAATCCTCTCACAGACTCCTTATCCAGTGATTTTAAGAATGGCACTGTAGAAGCCTGCTGGCATTTCAGTGGCTTTTAAGCAATTTGAAAGTGGGGAGACTCCCGTCCCTGACACCAGTGCTACTGTTGGTACCTAGACCTACCTTGCAGGGTTTGGGGGCATAGAGCATTTTTGCATACTAATATTTTGGTCCTCCACAGAGCTGCTGCTGTTCCTCTCTGTGCTGAGTGAATCACCAGGATTAATCTCCTGAAGAGTTCACTGAGGTTAATGATAATCAAGTTAAATTTACACTATATGATCAGTTTAATTAGGTACTGTTATACAAGTCCTATTAATTACAGCGGTAATACCCTTATGAAATGCAGATGAGAGGGTGGGGCTGTGGCCAGAGGGAGCTTGGCTTCAGATGAATTCAGGAAAAAGCCCCATTAAAATGCTCTGTGAGTACCTTCAGTTACCTGCTTGCCTCTGTCAGTGCTCAAGATGAAACAACAAGCTTAAAACACTTATAATCCTACAAAATGTAATAAATCTAGATGATTAAAGACCTCCTACATGATACACTATCGCTTCCCATTTATACCAAGAAGCAAGAATTCAATTTTGCATCCCAATTATACTCAGTCATTATTAGCTTACTCTGCTCAAAATCCAATGCAGAGAAGTTCCAGGTCATAGAGGTCATCTATTTTGCATCGAGATAAAGATAGGCAGGTCTTCCTAATATTAAAAAAAAGTAAGTTTCACTTTTCCTTCTCTAGTTTCCTCCTCTGGATTGACCTGTTGGGTTAAGGCAGATGCCAGCTCATGCTCGGCATTTGCTTTGCACCATCACAGCCTCCCCGGGACGCAGATGCAGCACGTACGCCCAGGTGCCTCCTCTCCGTGCCCCTGCAGGACTTGCACGGCATCAGAAGGGTGTGGGGAGAGGCAGCTGATCTGAAGCCCTCTTGAGCTACATCACCTGGAAACTGGGAAGTCTCTGCCAACAAGGTGCAGCCAGGGAAATTCTGGATCTCAGCAGGCAGTAGTAGCTCCGTTAGGAGAACATTGCACAGCATGACATTCCAAGCCTCACAACAGATTTTTGCTTCTGCTAAGTCTTCTCTGAGGTAATCCATACAAAGAGCAAAGCTTGTGCCATGTGGCTTCCATTAGCATTTGCTACATATGCTATTGGATGGCTTTAGTGAAACCTGCCAGAGACTGAGTGCTGTTACTGCTACTCATGTGGAAACACCAAATCCTACATAGTCACACAGGTGAAGGTCTCTTTATTAAGTAAATAAGCAACACAGAACAAGGCTTGTTAGCCAGAACGGATACTGTTCTTTGTTGAGATCGAATGGCGTGGGATCTGAGACAGAAAATCCCACCCTCTATGTAATTTCTATGATCCATGTAGCAAAAGCCCTTTATTCAGTTCTGACCTCGCTTTATATACCCCTTTCAATGTTCCCGGGTAAGCGTCTGTGATTGGTTCCCAGGTCAGGCTGCTCAGCCCGCTGACCAATAGCTCTCTGCAGCCAGGGCTGGAACTCATTGGATTAAATCCTTGTCTGTCTCCAATTTTGTCCTATCTCTGTTCTTTGGGGGCCTGCCTTTTAAGCCAGCCTGCTTATCCAATCAGTGGCCAAATTCACTGCTCAGTACAAGCCAGCTTGCACTGTGACAATTCCCCGTTTCTTTTTTATTAATTTGAAGAAAAATTTTGAAACATATGCAGCTTGTTCTCTGCAATCTTGCCTGCAAGGGCCCTTTTGCACACAAAATTACATTAACAGCATCTATTCAATTGGAATGGGTTTTTACCTAGCTCAATAAATTTGGCCTTTTGGATAGTGAAGAGTTCCACGTACCAGAAGCTGCAGGGCTTTTGTTCAGGGGCAGTCAGGTGAATTTAGCACTTTTGGTTTCACATAAAACAATTTAACTGTTTAACTTAGAAATATAATTCTATAACCATAAAACTTTAAACTTTTCTTTTGAAATTATAACTTAATATAACATTCAGTTTTAGAACTGTGCAAAATTCCAACTTGATAAAACAATTTGTAAACATTAAAACGTTTTGTAAACAAACAACTCTGTTATTTCAGTGTCTCATAACTCTGTGAGGTAGGTGAGTGGATTGTCCCATTTATCCTTCTGCATTTTGCTCCTCCACATCTGTCGAGGAGCTCTCGGGAGGGTGCTGTCCTTCTGCATCTGGCTCCCCCACGTCCGTCGAGGAGCTCTTACGGGGACGTTGTCTGTGGTTCCGTGCAGGACGAACACATCTAGCAGGTACCCAATGTGTACCTGTGTCCGTGGTTACACATGCATACCCCCGTCCCCAGGTGATGAGATTCCACGGACCCCCCCACTTATTGGTGTCGAGGTCTCGCACCATCCCCTTGGGCTTAGGTAAAGGTTTATCACCAGATGATTGTAATGATAGGAAGTGATTTAGGATAACTGGATTCTGGGAATTTTCTATTACTCTCGAGTGATTTAGTGTGTATACAGCCTTTGCTATTCTGCTCTGTGGGGTTTCACCCACCTCTCTTTTGTTTTTAAGTGTAATTTTTAAGGTGCCCTGTGCTCTTTCCACGATGGCTTGTCCTGTTGATACGTGTGCAATCCCAGTGTGGTGTGACACTCCCCAGAGCTGTAAGAAATTTCTTGTTCTCTGTGAAATGTAGGCAGCACCATTATCAGTTTTGATGAGATGGGGGATTCCTAAGGCAGCAAATGCAGATCGCCAATGTGCAATAGCATCCCGACCCTTTTCTCCTGTGTGTACTGTAGCCCAGACTGCTGATGAAAATGTGTCAATTGAGACATGTACATACTTTAAATGGGCAAATTCGGCAATATGTGTCACGTCAGTCTGGCAGATTTGCAAAGCACGCAGTCCACGAGGGTTTACCCCATCTGCAGTGGTGCAGTGTGGCCTTGGCAGTCAGTGCAGGTGTTAACAATGTTACGAGCTTCTGTGTTTGACAGCTGAAACTGCCACTGCAAGGCTCGGACACCTTGGTGGAAGAAATCATGTGACATTCTTGCTTGTGTAAGCATATCTGGCTGTGGTGCTGTCCAGGCAGGAGCAGCTAACTTATCTGCTCGAGCATTGCTTTCTGTGATGAAACCTGGCAAATTTGTGTGGCTTCTGATGTGTAATACATAGTAAGGACAACTTCTAGCTTGTATGGCAAGGCACAGAGTTTTAAGTAGCTTAAACAGTTGTGCATTTTCAACTTCCTTTAACAGAGCTTGGTCTAATCTTTGAGTGATATCAGCTACATATGCAGAGTCTGTTACCACATTCAGAGGAGTGTGAGGGAAATACTGAAAAGCCATAGCTACAGCTCGTAGCTCTACCATTTGAGGTGATCCACTCTCGTATCCTTCTAGGGTTTGCCAATCACTCCCCTCTTTTCACGTTACAATGGCTTTCCCTGTTCTCCCAGAGCCATCTGTGAACACTGTGACACCTTTTAAAGGTATGCGGCTACTGAGAGGTTTGAGAGAGAGTTCAGTCTCCCCACTTAGCTTAAGCAGTCTATGGCTTGGCAAATGATTGGAAATCTGACCCGAGAAACCTTGCAAAGCACTTTGTAAAGCTGTGCTGTTTGCAAAACACCATTCGAACTGTTCCTGCTTCACAGGAATAATGATTTTCGAGGGATCCTTAGCACTTAACTGCAAACACTTGTGACAACACTTGATAATCAATTGTGCTATTAACTCAAAGATGGTGGGAGCCATCTTTTTGGGCTGGTGAGGCAAGAACATCCATTCTAACACATGCAAAGGATCAGGCCAATGTGAGTTCCACTGCCCAATAATTCCTGTTGGATGAAACTTAACAATGATAATAAACACAGTAACACACACCTCTGGGCATATCCGGTGGACTTGTTTCTTTGTTATAGCCTGCTCTACTATTTCTAGAGCAGCCTTTGCTTTTGCATTCAGCTTGCTTGGTGAAGTCAGTTCTGGATTGCCCTTTAACAGGTCGAATAATGGTGCCAATTGTGAATCAGTTAATCTTAAATACTGTTTAACCCAGTTGATAGAACCCAAAAGTTTCTGTGCATCATTTAGTGTTTCAATTTTTGTTGAGAATTGAATAGTTTGTGGTTGTATGGTCTGATCTAAGATTTTTAGTGCCAAATATTCCCATGGTGCTTGCTGCTGCACCTTTTCAGGAGCTATTTGCAGCCCAAATGTTTTCAGTGCCTTTAATAAGCTTGGCTTAATTTCTGTAAGTTCTTCTTTTGTCTGGGTTGCTACCAAAATATCATCCATATAATGGTAGCAATATGCCCCTGGAAATTGCTCTCTCACTGATGAGACTGTTTGAGCCACGTACTCCTGACAGATCACTGGACTATTTTGCATGCCCTGCGGAAGCACTCGCCATTGATAACGTTGCCCTGGTGCAGTGTTATTAATGGAAAGCACTGCAAAAGGAAACTTTGGGGCATCATCTGGGTGTAATGGAATAGTAAAGAGACGGTCTTTCAAGTCCACAATCAGGATATCCCAAGAGACAGGTATCATTGTAGGGGATGGCATACCTGGCTGTAAAGCACCCATGCTTTCCATAACAGCATTAATTTTTCTTAAGTCATGGAGTAATCTCCACTTTTCAGATTTCTTTTTTATAACGAATATTGGGCTATTCCACGGACTTGTGGATAGTTCTATGTGCCCTTGAATCAATTGTTCTTGAACCAGGATTTTGATGGCCTCTAATTTCTCTTTTAGGGGCCATTGTGGAACCCACACTGGCTGAGTAGTGAGCCACTTCAAAGCAAATGCGGGATGATGTTCGCCCTCTATCACAACGGCCCCTTTTAAAAATCTGTCCCCACCCGGACCCCCCATGCTGACAACACATCCCTTCCCCACACACCTATATAATCTGCTAGCACGTATGGCCTCACTGTGGCTGTCTGCCCTTTATCACTTTTCATCAGCACAGGATTATCACTAAGATAACTTTGTGTAGTCCCTCCAATACCAGCAATAGTGGTTCCTGAGAGTGTAGTGGGCCAAGATAGAGGCCATTTGTAAGCAGCAATGATAGTAACATCAGATCTAGTGTCAACCAAACCCTTAATCTCTATCTGTGAGGGCTTGGCTTTTGGCATAGTAACAGTGCATTTTATGATAGGTCTGTCTTTACCTACGATTTGAGTCCAAAATACCTCTGGTTGTCCTGTTGATCCGAAGCCTTGGTCTCCTCGCTCCTTTGCATCTGCATTGGGGACACAAGACTTAAAAAGGACAAGTTTAGCAATCCTAGTTTTTTCAGGAATAGTTACAGGTGGAGAGGGAGTGGATACCATGGCATATATCTGCCCTGTGAAGTCAGCATCTATCACACCAGGATGCACAAAGATACCTTGTAATGTAGCACTGGATCTTCCCAAAAGAAGGACACTTAGTCCTTTCCCTATGGGCCCTTGAGCCTCAAGGGGACTCTGTGCACTTCTAGTGAGTTTATAGTTACTGTGGCTGAGGTGTAAACATCCAGGCCGGCTGATCCCCTTGTTCTGGCTGTAAGCTGATCACAAAGGCTTGGGCAGGAGGTTGAGGAAACATTTCTGTCTGGGTGCATTCCCTCATTGCGCTGGTTTTCATGTTTCCCTGTTCCTTAAGAAGCTGAAGTATGATATTTGGATCTGCATACCTTGGTTTCATGTCCAAGTTTTCCACATCGCTTACAGAGGAACTTGCCATTGCCCTATCCCTGAGCCTTCTTCTGTGAGGCTGGTTTCGTGGGGCAGCTCATTTTCACGTGGCCTGGTTGTCCACAATTGAAACAATTCACTTTCATCCTTACTGCAGCTGCAAAAGAGTTAGCTAACATATCCATATTGTGTGACGCTGTCCTGACCTTAGCACATGCATTAATCATTTCTTCCAGGGATGGATTTTCTTTGGGCAATGCACTTATAATTCTTCTACAATCCTCATTGGCATTATCTCAGGCCAATTGTAACAATACCTGATTCCTTGCATCTTCATTAGCTATTTGTTTTTCCATGGCATCTTGTAATTGTTCTATGAAGTGCATGTACAACTCACTAGGATTTTGTTTTATATTTGTATATCTCTGGGTTGGTACAGACATGTTTGTAACTTTATTTAGTGCTCTCATCCCCAGTTCTTTTGCCTGGTTTTATATTGCAGAGTTTAAGTGTGCTTGAGTCTGAGAATCCTCCATGGGACGCACTCCCATGAGGTGGGGAACCCCTGCCCCAAAGCATGGGTCTTGCTGTGATAGCCTCGAGTTTTTTAACTCTTGCTCCTCTGCATATGTTCTCCAGGCCAATTCAAACATCATATACTGCACTGGAGCACAGATTAATTTCACAATCTGCTTTATATCATAGGGTGTTCGTTCATTTGCAGTCATGAATCTAAGCATATTTGTCACTGCAGGGGATCCCAACCCACGCTTAGGAGCTAACTGGCGTAATTCTGCACGAATTTGCCAATTAAAGGGTACATATTTATCTGGAGTAGTTCCATTTCCCCTTATTACTGGGAATGCCATTATCGTATCTCCCCCACCCTGCCAGTCCTCTTCTATTGGTGAAGACACTGCACTGATGAAGGCACTGCAATCAGTTCAGCCACTTCTAAATCACCAGATTCTAGATCCTTTTGCTTTACCTTCATCCAGAGGAGAGCTGGGTCCCAGGAAGAGACGACTTCTAATTTAAACATTAGCAGGGCTGGAGTTGCTTTTTGAAGGTTGGCTGCTGAGGTGCAGCTTGTGTCTTTTCCCTGGGTGTGTTGGCTGTTCCTCTGTGCAGAGACCTCTTGGAGCTGTTCCGTGCTCGGCTCCTGGTGTGGAGCAATTGTGGGTACTATATCTCCAGCAGGATCGGGGCTGATTCTTGGTTCTGGAGTCATTTTCGGGGCTTTGGTGCTGGCATTTTCCAGTCTTGATGCACTTCCGGGTTTTTCCTGTGTCACTCCTGGCGTGATGTCATCACGGCTCGCCTGCTCTCTGGGCTCGGTGGGGGTTTCCATGGCGACTTGGGGCAGTGCCACGCCCTCTTGCCGGGGCGGAGACACGCCCTCTGGAGGCTGGGCTGGGGCCAAACCCCCTCCCCCTGGAGGCAGGGCTACTTGGGGCCAATGCATGCCTGCTCAGGGCTAGCCTTGGGTCGGGACTCGGACTTCCTGAGGTTGGACCGAGACCGCGGGAACCTCCCACCAAGGCGTGGTTGGAGCTGGAGGCACGTCCCACCGGGGCTGGGCTTGGGGCAAAGGCATGTCCCCCCAGGGCTGGGCTTGTGGTGGAAGTACCTCCCATGAGGGAGGCTGTGTTTCCTTTCTCCCTCCCCTGGCCATGCGGCCACTGCCATTTTGGTATTGTTCCTGGACCTCTGTCCTGGCCAGGCGGCCGCCGCCATTTTGAGATTGTTCTCAGATGTCTCCCGCAGCAGTTTGGGGTGTTTTTAGAGTCTCTGGGCTGGCAAATGAGGAATTACCCGCCAGTAAAGTCTCTCTGCATGGAGTAAGTACTTTTTCTTCCATGCTTTTGCTGGATAAATCAGCTTTTATCTCTTTTATCAGCTTTAAGATAGTTTTCTAAGGCTTTAAAGCTCTAATTGCATTTTTATCATTTTTTAAGGCAGCATTTAGTATTTCTTCTCCAATTTTAGTCCAATAGTCTATATTTTAATGTAGTTTCTACAGTCGGTTCCACCTTCTTTTCTTTTGTTCATAGTATTAAATCAAAAAGCAATTCGTTTTCATATTCAATTTCCCACTCCTCCAAAAACTCTGTCCATACCTCTATCACTGGATGCGTGTTTGTAGAAAAGAAGCTCCCCATGGTTTTCTTGTAGCTTTTTGGCTGAAGTTTTCCTTCGTCTCTAGGATGCTCTGGCTCTGGTCAGTTCCTGTCGCCTCTCTTTTTTGGGCGTCTTTCTCGTCTCTTGGACGTATTCCTGAATCTGGCCAGTGTTTTCCCTGCCTCTTGGGCAGCACCCGTCTCTATTGGACGGCTCTGGCTTTTTGCCAGCCCTTCTCTGCCTCTTGGGCAGTTCCCTGGCTCTAGGCCAGAATTCCCCTGGCTCTCGGCCAGAATTCACCGTCTCAAGGACGGCCTGTCTCCCCCACTCGCAGCGGTATGGCTATGCCAGATCACGTCAGGGCTCACCAGATGTTGAGTTCGAACGGCGTGGAATCTGAGACAGAAAATCCCACACTCTATGATCCATGTAGCAAAAGCCCTTTATTCAGTTCTGACCTCGCTTTATATACCCCTTTCAATGTTCCCGGGTAAACGTCTGTGACTGGCTCCCAGGTCAGGCTGCTCAGCCCGCTGACCAATAGCTCTCTGCAGCCAGGGCTGGAACTCATTGGATTAAATCCTTGTCTGTCTCCAATCCTGTCCTATCTCTGTTCTTTGGGGGCTGGCCTTTTAAGCCAGGCTGTTTATCCAATCAGTGGCCAAATTCACTGCTCAGTACAAGCCAGCTTGCACTGTGACATTCTTGAACACAGACACCTGTATAAGCCTCCTGTGCCCAGGTTCCCTCTCTGTAAAGTGCTTGCTCAGTCGCAGGAGAAGCTCTGGCACTTTGCCATTTCTGCCACTGCAACTTAATTAAAACCCCAAAAGATGGGAAGCACATTTCCTTCTTCCTGTAGGATTTGTCACCCTCTCCCCATCAGACAGCAGCAAATGAGCATGCCTCAGCACTCCCACTTTGCACAAAACACATGTAAAAACAGCAGTATGTTACAGTAGGTTGTACTAGACATTAATTACCAATCCCTGCCAGCTATAATTATCTTGTTAAGTTTTGGCTATAGACACTATCTTGGCCTTTACAAAAAAGCCTGGAGGATATAGCCACACAATATCCAGGAGGAGAGTCCTTTTCCTGAGTGTACTCTAGGTCCCACCCCACCACTGCAGACAGCCAAACTGTACCTGAAGTTATTTTGACAAAATGGCAATTTCAAAGCAGCCTGCATGGCCCTGTGTGCATATTCAAATCCCACTCTCTGTCCCTTGATAGACAGCTCTTCTAGGGATACACAGGAACTGAGGTAGGAGATGGAGATGACGATTTCTTGACAGTTCCTTGCTCTGAAGGCAGACTGAGATTAGGCTTCTGGCCCATACATTTCCCTAACAGTCCAGATATGTATCCTTTAGAAGATCCTTAGTCTTTCCCACACCTCGGAGTTTGGCAAAGACTATGAAAGGACCTCTGGAAAGACAGGGCTGGCAGAACCCCTGAGATCCCTTGCTGGGATTTTTGCTTGATTTAGGCACAAAGGTCTTACTGCTCCCCCTCATTCCTTGTGCATTCCTAGCTACAAAGTATAGCTGGGACCAGGACATCCTCCTAAAAGGATACCTTGAGGACCTCCACATCCTCATTTCAGCATAGCAGTGCTCTGAGGAGATGGGCACTAGGATTTGGCCAAAGCCTTCAGCCATTTTTTTTAGAGTTGTGACACTTTTTGGTCCCTCACTGCTGAGAATGGCACTTGTGACACACTAACAAGAGCTCAGCAGTGCTCCTGCAGCAAGGGTTTGATTTAGGAAGCAGAGCTGCTCAGCCCACTCTGCTCTTGCTGATGTAGTGACCTGGTTTTGTCAAGACTGTTTTTCTCCGTTTGTCTTTGATGTCATTTTGGAAGGCAAGTCATGAGAATTTCATGGAAGCATTGAGTCAAAAGTTGGACTAAAACAAAGCCTATCACAATACCATTATAAATGAATGAGGTGCAATTTCCCCTTAGAGGATTATTACATTGTTTAGGGTTCTAACACATTTATTCCCACAGTTTAGTAATCACTTTCATGCTTCTTATCAGAATATAATCCGTTTATATTTTAATGTAACAAGTTACAAGGATTATCAGCTCATAATAAATATACTCATCCCCTAAAGCATTTAAACCGCCCCGACACTTTGTAAAGATCTTACTTAATGAGCAGACACCTACAAGTGAACAAGGAAACTAATACTGTGTTGTATGGAACACCATGAAACTGCAAAACACATGCTGCTTAAATTTTTTTTCTGTGAAATTAAATATTTTTCAGCATACAGATTTTTACTTTGAAATTACTTTTATGAGGTTTTGGAAGTCTCTGAGATTGCCTTTTGCATTGGGAATTTGTTTACTTTGCAGTCTTCAATTTACATTCAGCTCATGCATAGGACTATTTCAAATCACCACATCACTCATGAAAATCAAATTAAGGAAAGCTGTCAATAACAGCCAAGAGAAATCCACCCAAAAGAAAACCCTGCCTGATTTGCACTTAGGTCAGTCCTAGTGCTGAAGTGCCCATGAAACCATGTCCACTGAAGCCAACTGAAATCCACTGTCAGAGAAATGTAAAAATCTCTCCTGTCTTACTGGCCTGCAGTGAATCACAATATTTTTCTCTTGCAGTTGTCTGGAGATGGGATGGGAGAAAGTAAGTATTACCTGTCAAACTAAAGGCATTCCTTGCCTATTCATAGGACTGCCCAACATATTTCTGGCAGAATTCACATGGAAGCTTCTGGTGCTCACTGCACTTGCAACCATAATTCTGACTGAGTTAAGAGGCAGCAGCAAGAATTACCCTCTGGAGCCTTCAATCTCTGAGCTTCAACACATAGTTCAACTTCCCAGCTCTGCCAGTGGTGGCATTTTTCTTCTTCCTTCCACATGCTGTATCTGCTCAAAGTATTTTTCTCCATAAGAAAATGTGAAATTAATGGTCTAGGTTGCTTTCATCTTTCAGTTTTGTTCTCTTAACTCTGCTGATCAGAGTCACTTGCACTTCTGCATGTTCACCTATCAAGAAGTCCATTCACAGAAGCACACTTGCTTTAGAGAATTCCAGGAAAACAGGAATGCTGCAAAATCTCAAAAATCCTTTTAACAGGAATCCATAGATAATCTGGCCTTAGACTTATACAGAAAGAGGCTTTTGGCTCTGGCTGTCAAAGAGAATAGACCTGTATATTGTGCAGCCTCTGCAAATACAGGCCCTCCTTAGGGAAAGGTGAAGGGAGGAGATGATAATGTGTGAAGTTTTTGTTGTTCCTAGAAAATCAATCTCATGAGTCTTTTCTTAGTTAAGTACCAGTTATCCAAACATCTGCAAGGCAGTGTTTTGTGAGCAGTGTCCAAACAGGAACAAGTTGATGTACAGGATACAAATTTCTTTCTGGAAAGCTTCTTTTGCAATCCTCTCCTCTTTTTATTTCACCAAAAATTAAGTACTTGGATGCACAGAAGACTTTGCTCAGTTAAAAAAGCCCAATGCAAAATCCATTGCTTTGCAGAGAAATTGAGTATTTTTCATGCAGTGAAATGTACTGATAAGGGTCTATTTCCTCCCAGCTAAATCCCATGGTCCATCCACACAGTGGAGTTGCAAGTCTATACTTCATTTTAGCTTTAAAGAATCTTCTCTGCATTAATGTGGAGTCAGCTCCAGCTAAGAGTGTCTCCTCACCACATACGGCTTCAGCAGTGTCCTGGGGTACAATGCAAAAATGTATATTCTATCACCATCTGTTAAAATGTAGGAGGGGTGGTGATCCTTATCTCTGTGGGAGATATCCTCT